CAGTTTTAAATCATAAGAAGACAAGAAAAAGGAAAAGAACTGAGGGAATGTCTTCACCAGAGTCAGCTCATAGCACAAATCAGGTTCAGGATGTGCTGCTGCATTTTTGTTGCTTGCAGCTGCTCTTGGAGATAAGTGGCTCCTTTGAAATGTGAAGTATAAATTTGTAAGACGTTTCTGCAAAGGATGTGTCACGTTTTGTGAAGTTTATGCAGTCCTTGTTCAGGTGATTAAGCAGAGCCTTACCCTGCCTTGGTTAACTTGGTCTAAGTGGAATCAGTGGATGTGGCTCTCGGTGCCCCTGTCCAGAGCTGGGTGACACAGCTCCTGCTTCAGGAATTTGCTTTGTTTGATGAAAATCCTGGTGGGAGCTGCAGTTCCTGCTGATGGGTAATGATGTTCCTATGAGGAAAACTGCCCTGTCTAGAATAGAGGGACCAAATATGAATTCCTTTGAAAAGGAATTGATTTTTTTTTCTTTTTAGTAAAAGGATTTTTTCCTGAAGTGTTACAACCCCATATGACACTGAGATTATCATCACAGGTGTGTTGCAAGTGAGATCCCTTTGGACTTACAGAGAAAAAAAGGAGCATCAATGGCATGGCTTTAGGATGGTGCCTTTTAAGAGCTGACCAGCTCAGAGCAACAAACAGTGCAAAGATTTAAAAAAGGAAAAGCCTCGGTACTAATGGCAATTTGATGTTTCATCACCAGTGTGAAAAATAAATGTTTAGATACACACCAAGCTTTGTGAGGAATGTGTGCCTCATGTCACTGCCAGCAGAGAAAGCTTTTTCATATTCTTATGGAAGAAGGATGAGTCTGAATCCCAGTCCCAGGAGCTAAACAGGCTTAAAGATGCTGTTCAAAGGAATCAGAGCAGTGGGATGTGCAGATTTGGAGGACAGGACTTGGCAGCCGTTGTGCCCCCGTTAGGCAGTGCTCAAACTCAGACCAGCCAGGCTGTTTTACCAGTTAACTGGCCTGGGTAGCTCTTTATAAGCACCTTCCAAGGAATATTTATAACTCCAGAAGAGGCCTCCTGACCCTGGAAACGATTTCTAGTCAACAGCCCGTTTCTCTCCTGCCTGAAACGCTGCCATTTAGTCTCTGTGACCACCCTCACTCCACAACTGGCCTCGGCAGCCCCCAATTATTACAGCACTTGCCAGCCAGAATCAGTGTCCCTGTCACAGCCCCAGCCCTGACGGAGCCTCTCAGGCCCAGGAATCTGCCTCTTGTTCCCTCAGCTCATCCAGGCTGACACGTGTCTCCTTCAAGGCAAGAAATACGCTGCCCTTGAGACATGTGCATCAACTCTAACCACTGTTTAGCCTCTTCAGTGTCAGGAAACTTCAAACACAAGGCTGATTTCGTGGAGTCAAGACTGTCTGGAACGTTTTCATAACAGAGAGTTGTATCAAAACATCTATTTGAAAAACTGAAGAGCCTGGTGAGCTCTTGCTTTTCAGTGACTGCAAGGCCCTGAGATTAAAAAAAGTTTCTCAAAAGAAGGTCGGAAAAATCTGGCATATCCGCAAAATGTCATCCTTTGCATAATATAACGATTCCCAGGAGCCTCAGAGTGCTTGGGATTACTCCTTACAACATCAGAGTAGACCAGAACAAACATTACCTATTTACTTGTCTGATAGAAACATACTTAAATTCCAAACTTCATCCATGTTTCAAAGGTCTCCAAGTTCAAGAAGTTTTATCTCCAGGTCTATATGTCAAGTTGATCTCTTTTCTTTATAAGGTTATGTTATTTTCATCATTAATATCCCCTCTTCCTGAGAAGTGGACATTTTACAGTGTAACCCAGCATTTCTGTTCCACATTTTCATGACTTGGCTGCATTTTCCACTTACTAGTAAATGGATTTCTGACTTATTGCAGGTTTGTAATGATGGCATTTCAGATTTTCTCACCTCTTTTCCATGAGCTGTGAGCATCTTAATTCTTTCCATGACAGCTGCGAGTATCTTAATTCCTTCAGTTGCCACATGTTCTTGAAGCACAGGCAAAATAACCTCTGTTTCAGTGGGTTTGTCTTCAACAAAAGCCCCTGTAATTTCTGAAGGTTGGAGTGAGCTGGGCAGCGTTGTGGTAGACACAGCAAGGGTATTTATTATTAAGGGAATCTCTAGCACAGCAACACTGTAACTGATTAAACAGCACTGTTTGTCTCAGCAAGAATTAGTGTCTCTAAGTTGGGGCTGTAGGAATCCTTCAGTTTTGTCTGCCATTCCCACTTTTGCCAGATGCAGTGTGGTACTTGGGAACAACTGTGTCTGTGCTTCTGTCCCCTGTGGGCAGCAAACCAGGGGATAGAGGAGGATGAGAACCTGGAGTGAGACCCACTCACAGTGGTCAGAGAGGAGATATAAATGAGATATTCTTGGTGTAGCCACGTGTTTGCAGCGCTGCTTCCAGCAGTGGCTCAACTTTGTGGTTTTGGGGGGGGTTGTCTGGAATAATATAGGTCAGCTGAGTTTTGTAGGGGGGGAAAAAGAAGAGGAAAACCTTGATTATCAGTGCTATTCTGTCTGAAATTTTGTCTTGTGGAATGTTTGAGATGAAGACACATTCAGGTTTTGTTGTTGGCTGGTGGGTGTTTGGTTCCACCACCACTGAACTCAGGCCAAGAGCTGAGGAGGAGCCTGGAGTGGTTCTGCCCTGAGTTCAGCTGGAGCCCCCACAAAGCTGGGGCTGTGTGGGGCAGGTTTAGATGGCCCAGGTGAAAACAGCTCCTCAGTTAAACAGCTCAGAGGGGATATTTTGCTACCAGGTATCACTAATCCCACCTTACAGGTCTGGTAGAGCTGTGCATTTTCCTACTTAAGAAGCTCCCTACCAGAATTAATTTCACCTGGTTACCTTGGGCTCCTCTGGGTGTTGTGGTTGTGTATTTAATTGTAAATGGCTCAATAAAAACAAATCAGGCCTGTGCTTGGGGAGCCCTGCCCAGGCAGCTTTCAGATTTAGAATTAATGTTTTCATACAAATTTCATAGGTGGTTCTTGTGCCTCTCAGTAATTCCCTGTACATCAAGCCAGTCATTTCTTTCCATATATAAGCTTTGCTTTTAGAAGCACAGTAGATGATAAGCATAAATGTTTCATTTGTTATAAATATTTAATAATTATGAATGATTGATGAGCAGATTTTTAAGCAAACTGATTAGAGTTGTATGAAATTAGGAGTACCTTTGTATAATTTTCTAAGCTGCATTCTAGGTATTATCTGGGCTCTGTTGTGCTATAAAGGTGCCTGACTGGTATTGTCATTAAAAATATTAGCAGATGGGAACAAGCAGAAAAATACACTTTTAGTAGTTATATTGGCAATAAAATTAATATGGAGGACTTCCTTGTCGATACAAGAATTTCTGTATCCATCAGTTTTCATTCCATTGTAATCCATTCTTTATGGATTATTTTAGAGGTGTTTTTTCAAGAGAATGCCTTTAATAGCACAGCACTAATAGCTGGCTGTGATTCAGTGACTTTCACCTATTTTGCTTTCAATTTTTTCTAATTGCCTTTGATCTCCCTGGGGCTTTGAAGCCTAAAAAAAAACACACCCCTATAACACTTATCTAATTATCCGGGCTCTTGCATCTCTAAAAGATTTCATTAGCAACGCTGCTCTCTGGCTCGTGCCCCCAGCAGAGGGGCTCGTACCTGTCCCGCAGACGTTTTTGGGTGTCTCTCGGATGAATCCCTTTGCCTATAGGTGCCACTGTTGCTCTGCACACACACGCCTGAGTCGCCAATGCCCTTCAGCTGCAAACCCAACCTTGAAAAAGCAAACCTAAATCACGGTGGCTAAAATGTTGCAGAGGTAGAACTCCGTCCAGACCATGGCCAGGGGCTTGTCCATGCCAAGACTCAGGTATATGCTTTATCTTTTTCCTAAAAATAACTATAATATTGCTAATCTTGAGAAAAAAATATGATGAATTGCGTTGAAGTAATTCCAGATATATTGAATCTAACTTGCTGCAGGTTTATTGTTGAGCCTCAGCCCAAGAGCAGCTGAGCTTTGCAGATCTCTGCTCTGGACCAAACGTGATTTCAAGGCAGAAGTTGCACATTAGGGCAAGAAGAATTTGGGCTTCTGCCAGCACTTTTTACATAGGTCGTTTAGGTACTTCCCCAACGGAGTGAAGTCTCAGGGTGGCCTATCCAGGGCTGTAAAGGCCACCCAGAGCTGTTCCCTCCGTGTTTACAGTTTGGTAATTCAAGGTCAGCTAATGGAGTTTACTCTGCAGCTTATCTACCCTTAAGTGCTGTTCCCTATGTAAAGCCAAGGGCAATCAAGGTCTGCCTGCTTCCTGCACTGGGAGGAACCTTGTTCCACCTTGGCCTTGGATATGCAGCTATTTCATAGGTTTGCTTTATTCTTGGATGTTTCAGGCATAATATGGAATAACACAAGGTTCTTTTCTGCTCTTTATTCAAAAAAAAAAAGAAAAGCACAGCAAGCTGTGTAAAAATGACAAAACAAAGGGCAAAGCAATTACGAGGTTTATGCCCTTTCAGGTTCAATCCCAGTTGTTGTTGTTTTGGTTTTTTTCTTACTGCAGCTATTCATTGACTAAAAACCAAAAGATAAAAAATTTGTTTTCTGTGGTTTAACATCTTCTGAAATATTCCTGGCCACCTGCAGGTCAGGATGTAATCCAGCAATTTGCTCTAACTAGTAAAAAGCTCTGTGCCTATATAACCTAATTCTCATCCCTTCTACATGGCACAGCTCACACAACAGTCTATATTAAGCAGTGCTTAAGATCACCCTAAGCAGTTTACACAGCGTTGTCCCTGGCTGTTCTGTCTCTCAGCAGTTGGCCAAAGCCTTACAGATATTCTGACCCCCTTTACAGTCCAGGATTCTACAGCATTTTGGGGAAGATGTCCCCGGCTAGAAGGGAGAGCATGAGTTTTTAGCTGGTTGTCTCAGCTGACAGGGAGCAAAAGCAGAAATTGGTGGGCTTTCACAGGAATTGGTCCAGACACCAATCTGGACTCAGCTTCTTTCTTGTGCTCATCAGGTGCTCGAGAAGCCCAGAGCTGGTGGGTGGTTCTGAGACACGATGAAATGTCAGAAATTAGGGAATTAAATTTTTGGTTCTGGTGTTTCTGCTCCACAGTTGTCATAGGGGATGTTTGTACTAGTTTGACAGCAGAGTAAAGGCAAAACAGATCTCTTTGTTCCCAGGGCATGTGTGTCTTCCTCTGGCTGGAAAATCACTGTTAGATATCGACAGGAACTGCAGGAATGGCATCAATCAGGAATCCTGACTCTTCATAGCCTCTCTGGTAGATATTAAAAAAGTTAGCACAGCTTTACATTTCACTTAAATTTAGAAACATCATAATAGTCCATGAATTCTCCTGCTACTTGTATCCCACAGCTCTCCTTGCCTTCAGCTGGTATTGAAAAGGGGAGAGAAATCTGCCCATTGACACTCTCCTTCACTGCTTCCTGTGGTGATTAAGTATTGTATGGACAACGTTTCCACTTTATCAGTCCAAAAACTAAGCTCCTGACTGGGTAAGAAAGTAGCCAAAAGTCACCACAAGATCTATTTTCAGAATTAAAACAGAAGGAGGTTCCTGGCTCTAAATCCATATATTGACCACTGCACCATGTTCCACCTGATTGAATTAATAATTCCAAAAACTACTGAGAATGGGGAAATCTGACTTCTGAGGAATCCAGGCCAACCTGCATCCACTTCAGCTCTGGAGGGAAGGCAGCACAGGTTGTAACCATGTTTATTGCAGTTATTGTCACACTCCAATACTAAAGTTTGGCTTCTTTGTTCCTTGTGATGGGTGAAGAAATGCTGCAGTGGCAGGCTCTGAAATGAGATGCACATGATGAAATCATGCTGCTTGTGCACAGCATTCAGGTGGCTCAGTGTGCTTTTGATCTGACTGTACTGCCAGTGATATCACACTGTGATATCAGTCCTTGTATTACTTTTACTTAAAATTTAATCCCTGAAAATAAGGGCATTTGCATTTCAAGCAAAGTAAATTTCCAGTTAACTTAAGCAACTGCATCTGCATGTCACGAGATGTGATTAGGCTGATTTCCACACACGCATCACGGATTTGCAGACACATTTAAGAAGGCTGGAAATGAAAAGCTGATTGTCTTGTGCTGCTTAAGTGTTTTGTGGTGCAGTAGCATTGCATATCCTACCCTCCAGCTGTCTGTCTGGAGAGAGTGATAATATCTGGGGGTGTTGAGGCACCTCGGTGGAAGGGATGTTCTAGCAGATGACACTTGTGGGAAAAATATTGTGAAAGATCTGGGCCTCATTGAAGTGCAGTTTGTTTGTGTAAATTGGAGGTGTGCTGATTCAAATAATCCTATTTTACCACCAAGCTCCTATTAGAGCTCAGGGAGGGCCCTGAAGACACAATACCCGGTCCCAGCTGGTAGGAACACACTGGTTCTCCTCATGTGCCCTGGGCACCCTCCAAGGCAGAGACTGGGAGACATCCAGAGGGTACCAAGCAGTTTGTTTGCCTCAGAAGGGATCCCTCTGGAATCAGAACTGCAGGGGAGCTGGGAATGGCCTGGGAATGGCCACGGAGCTGCAGTGCCTTCCATTACACATACAGTTGTTTAAGGATATATAAAATAGGATTTAAGTATTAGGCACAGATCATCCCTGTCTGGAATGCTGGCACACACAGCCCCACACCGTAATTTTCTTTTCCTTACCTCAAATTTCTCAACTGTGGCTCTCCTCAGTGTTTGGTCTGTGAGTAGATAAAGACTTTCCTGTATAAGCTGCTGCTGAGTTTCACAGTGTCTTTTATAGGCATGATAAATACACAAAATTCAGTATAGCTAAGGCAGCCCAGTCATCATAGCAGCTCTGTCCCAGTGCTCCTTTCTTCCTCTGTGCATCTAAAAACCACTTTTTTGGGAAGAAGTCTGGGTTCTGAACTTTGTCTCAGCTGGTATAATCAGCCAGTGTAAAATTCCAAATTGGTTCCTTAGTATAAATATAAGATATATAAAGTATTGCTAATTATAAATTATTATTTATAATTGTTAATTATTAATAAATATGTAAGTATAAATACTGTACAGTCCTTGAAAAATTTGCCATGGCTTGGTGTTAAATACTTCTACCTGCCATGTGAACCAGCATCTGAAAAGAATGAATTAACTTGGTTTCCCCTCTTTGTTCCTATTTCTGCTGCAGCAGCCAGGCTCTGCAATACAGTCTGGCATTTTGCTCCAGGAAAAAAAAAAAATCTAAGGGAAGTAATTTTAGCAGAGTCAGGAGGATTTGTCTGAACAGCTCCAATATTGAACCTAACTGGCATGTTTTGACAAAGTTAAATGTCTAATGACAAAATTTTGCTGAGCTCTTAGGCAGGGCATGAAATCTGTTGAGCAGCTCTGGTAGCAAAGATGCTCTTGTTTCTAGAAGCAAATAAAACCAATATCAAGTTATTAAAGATCCTTTTGATACAAGTTATGAGAAGTATAAAATTCTGGAGGATTAATGAAGCCTCTCCTGCATGATGTTGGTATTGTCTATGTTGTTGAACAGCTGTATGTAAGTGGTACAGCTGCCTCAAGTGACTGCCCTAAGAAGGGCCATAGCATTTTTAATTGCCCTGGCTTAGGGAGAGGAATGGCAGATCATAAACAGAAAGAAGTAATATAGGCCAAGCAAGATGTTTATTTTTCTCCCTTTTATCACTCCTCTGGGATGAGCCTGGACTCCAGCTGATGGCTGCAGCCCTGTACTACCCCCACAGCACTGGTTCTGACCCCTCTGTTCCTGCTCCCACCTTCCTGATCTTCCCCTTTTTCTTTCCCAATCTTCCTCTTGTCCTCTTCTCCAGCCAGTTTCCAAAGAGAACTGTAGTAGAGTGTTTGGGTTCAATCTTCCACCAATCCCATCCACCTTTTTGTGACGCAAACATATTTCTTTGCCTCACCAGCACTACCCTCCCTGGCTGTTGGAACCATCCTTCAAGTTATCTGGGTTAAACATTACCCAGTAGTCCAGTGCTAAAACTGGGGCAGAAAGGGGCTCCAGTCCTGCCTGTGTGCTGAGAAATGTGGGTGATGTGTGGAGCTGCCATGGAACCATTTCTTTGTTATCCCCACAGTGACAGTGACCACGTTTTAGGCTGCATCATGTTTATTGTTGACCAAAACAGTGGCTTCTAACCCACTAAAGTCAGCTGAGGTGGGTTCTTTTGATCTAACAGAGTTCAGAACACCTCTGCACCAGCACACCACACATACCTGCTAACACACAGTTTCTCTTCATACACACACATTTTATTTTAAACAGCTGGTACAGACCAGGATGTCCATTCAAAGTACCATTCTCCTTTACTGGCAGAGCTAAAGATAAGGGCTTGCAGCATGGTACAGGCTTGTATAAGGTTTGCATATTCCATGTTCCAACTAACAGCTGGAATGAGGTTCTGATGAGCTTTGTTTATCATTCTTAATTGGCTGCCCTTGATTGACTACCCATCACCTGATATTAAATATCCTAAAAAGATATTTTCCTAGGTTGAGGCATGAACAGACTCGTGGAATCTAAGATGTTTACTCTAAGCTTTTCAGGAAGTTAACAACGCTGTCCAATCCCCTCTTCCCAGATGGAAATGAGAAACCACAATAATCATAGAGGCTTATGATTCCATGGAATCCATCCTCGAGGTGGTACCAGGTCACCCGGACACCGTTGTCCTCCAGCCTCTTCTTGTACAACAAGCCGTCGTCCCGCAGCACGTCGTACTCACAGGTCAGGATGAAAGATTCTGGCAGCTGCTGAACAACAGAGTCTTCAGCCAACAGAGGGCACAGGTTGGGCTCACAGAATCTCTTCACCGTCTCATAAACTTCAGCTATGAAATCAGTGGGCCTAAGTGGTCTCACACCTCTGACCTTAAATTTCTCAGGGATGTTGTCTGGACTCACCCACTTCGTGTACTTCACCCTCATGTCTGGAGGAATATGAGAGCCCTCCAAGACCTCTTGCATGTGCAGTGCATCTCCATTTAGGTACAGCAAAGCAAAGAAAGCAGCACGTTCTCGGAACAATAAGGGGACTCCTCGGTTTTGATGATAAGATGGTAAATTGAAGTCCAGGGCCTGAAGGCCCGGGTAGAGCAGGATCTGAGCACGCAGTTTGGGGAAGTCTGACCTGCCTGCAAGGGTCTGGCTCACAGCAGCTGCCAGGTTGCCCCCAGCACTGTCCCCACAGACAGTGACACGGGCAGGGTCCACGCCGTAGTGCTCCAGGTGGTGCAGGAAGTGCTGGGTGGCGTTCAGGCAGTCTTCATAGGCAGCGGGGTATTTGTGCTCAGGGGCCAGACGGTACCTGGGACACAGAGAGACAAGGGTAAGAGAAGGAAATGTTATCAGTAGTAATCAGGAAACGGTGTCATATTTCTGTCCTTCAGCCCTATCATTTTGGGGGGCCCTTGTTCCACACCACCTCCTAAGCAGGCACTCCTCAGTCTGTGACTGCACATAAGCTTTAAATTGTGTACTCAGTCACAAGGACTCACTGAAGTAGGATTGCCTCTGATTAAAGATATGACCAAGTCTTAGTCACACTCAAAACTTCCTCTGTACTCTTGCCAAGAAAATTAAACATTTTGTGCCTCTGCTTCCTATGTTAAAATGGAAGGAATACATGTGATTATTCTCTCTTTTCCTATAGATCCCAATTGCTTAGAGGGTCTTATTTCATGTTCATATGTTCAGCATAAGGAAGACGTTTTTCATCCAAGTGTTTGATTGGCTTTTATATTTTTCCTTAATGTGCCAAATATTTCCATATGTATCTTTCCTGAGCATCTCTGGGCATGAGCAGTTAAGGGCTGTGAAATCTGCATTATCACTCTTTGTCTCTTTATGGGCTTCACTGACTTCTGCAGAAATTTCTCTGACGAAAAAGAGCATCTCCAAAACCAGTGCAGCTCTGCTGTGGCACCACAGCAACAGTAATCTCCCAACAACAGAACTGGGTAGGGTTCACTTACTGCACAGACACAACCACTGAGTCACTCTCCCTGGAGAGGTAGCGACACACCTTTTCATAGGTATCTGGAAAAGAAATACTGTCATCAGTGCTTTGCTATTGCCCTCATCTTTGAGACAGATGCTCATTCCAGAAAGGCTTCTGACTTCCTCCCTCCCAAATCACATGCTCATTTCTATTTTGTAAAAAGACTTTACTACAATTCCTCCAGCAAGTATCTTACCAAGGCTTCCAAATACCCAGCCTCCTCCATGAAAAAAGAGGATGCCTCTCCTTCGCCCATCAGAGGTAGCTTTAGGCTGATAAACCCTCACAGGTACTTCATTAAACTGCAGATCCTGGATGAAGAGCTTTGGGTCCAGCCCTAGTTTCCGTCCCTGTCGCACATATCGGCCAAAACTGATTTGGCTGCAAAGCCCAGTCTTCTCCAAAATCCTTCCCTGTTAAAGGTGAAAGAGATTAAGGCATCTTTAAAAGTCTTGAGTTAGGCAAGGTATAAAAACTCTGCATCATACTTACATCAAACTGTATTTGAGGGAAATTATACAAAACTCTGATTCGGAAAAAAAACAAACAATTTTCCCAAGTTCTCACATCCTACAGTCTGTAAAAAAATTTACTTGTACAACTCAACTCCGATGTCACTGTAATGTCACATCAGAAATTCTGTGAAGGTCAACCAAACTGGTTGCCTTGCAATATATATTTCAACTGTCAGTATTGTCCTGCACACCTTTGTGCTCATTCTTGTTTCATTTACACTTGGTAACAGCAATGAACTGCCATATGCAGAACCAGTTCTTCATTGCAGAAACTGATATTGATGAATTAGACCATAAAACCCAGTGAATTTGCAAATCTAAAGTGCTGAGCTGTGTTGTGCAAGTTAGTTATTGCTTTTTATTTGCACAACAGATCTACTGAACAAAATGAAGCTGCTTGCTTTCCCAATGCTCTTGCAATGCTATCTTGCAAGCTAGAATATAAATATGATGTAATAAGTGAACAAACAAGAAGTTGGCAATCAAACACATAAACTGTTACACTGTTCACTGGCTAAACAAGATCCCTATTTTTAATGCCCACTGAGTCTGTCTTTATCAACTCCCTTGTCACCTGCTAGTGGATAAAGACAGACTCACTGGGAATTAAAAATAGTGGAGGTTCAGGAGAGCTGGGCAGCTTTATCAGCAAATTTAAAGAGGATGTAAATGGTTTAAGAACCTGTGTGGAGGAGAACAAAGTCTGTGTGATATCAGGGGTGGTGTTGTGGCAGAAGGAGTGACGGAGGAAACTGAAGATTTTAAGAAATTCAAAGACAGAGAGAGTGACAGCACCAGAGCTGAGGAGGGCTCTAAGGCCGTTTATGCAATGCTGCCAAAGGGAGTCCAGGGATTAAGTAAAGCAGCCCTAACCGGATTGTGTGCCATAAATGTCAGAGCCACGGCAGGAACAGCTGAAGGGCTGTAGCTTTCCTTGTGCAAGGTGATCTCGCCTAAAGGTGCGGGCAGTTATCAGGCAAACCCCCACCCAGCCCTCAAATCGGGGCTGCAATGGCAACCACCGCTAACACAGCCCGGCGCTCCTGAACGGCGTCTGCCCGCGACATGGGCATGCCCGGGGCAGCATCCTCGAGTGGGGATGCTCGGGGCAGAGCCCGACCGGGGTGACCGGGGCAGCATCCTCGAGTGGGGATGCCCGGGGCAACATCCTCGAGTGGGGATGC